GCAATGTTAATTTTATCCATAAATGCTTATAACATTGCAATTTTCAAGCTCCTTTATATAAATTATCTTATTTTTTGTTGGTGGTGGTCATGGGGCTTGAACTCTGGGCCTGGGCACTGTCACTCAGCTCTTCAGCTCAAGGCTAGTGCTCTACCACTTAAGCCACAGTGCCACTTCTGGTTTTCTGGTAGTTTATTGGAGATAAGAATCTCACAGATTTTGCTTCTGGGGCTGGCTTTGAACCATGATCCTTAGATCTTAGCCTCCTGAATAACTGAGATTACAGGCATGAGCCACTGGTGCACGGCTATATCATCATCTTTGAAGCAGTATTCTTTCTTTTCCTGTGTGTGGGGGGTGGGGGGAGTGGGGAGAGGAAGGATCTGGCGAGGCGCTGGTACTGGTGCTTAAACTCTGGGCATGAATGCTATTCTTAGCTCTTTTGGCTGAAGGTTAGTGCTTTACAATTCACGTAATCATTTTGCTCATTAATTGGAATAAGAGTCTCATGGATTTGTATTTTTAGTCTATTTTGAATTCAACCCTCAGATCTCAGCCTCCTGAGTAGCTAAAATTACAAGAGTGACTCAGTGGTGCTCAGCTTCAAGACATTCATTTACTTGAATATTTAATCATAATCAGCTAAATCAGTTGTACAAAATAAAATTCTTTAAAAGTAATGTTCAGGAATCTGAATTACTTTCTCTTCTTTGCCTTTTAATGTTAATCCAGAACGTACTAATTACTAATTTACTGATCGTGGAAGCTTAAAAATGCTTGTAAGTATTTGGAATGTATCTACTTATAATGCACCATGAATCCTTAGGAAAAGGAGAAATGTAACATCATTGCCATTAGGTCTGACAGAAAAACAGCCCCCTTCCCTCTTTACCCCCCTTTCGTGAACAAAAGTACCTGCCTGAAACTGGTAATCACTGTGACTGTCAATCACTTCACTTTCAATTAACTAACTGACTGAGTTAGCAAAAGCCCTGCCCCCCATACTCTGAGGTCACTTCCGCATCTGCTGCGGCCACACTTCCTCTCGCCCCTTCCCTATATAATCTTTTTTTCCCTTCAGTTCATACAACACCCTACTCTACAGTGGGGCCTGGAAGTTTGGCTCTACCAAATAAACTCTTATCTGCCTGAACCACGTGGTGGTCTCATTTCAGCAACCCCTACAATGAACATTTTTCAGGACTTTCAGCCTATATCTACTTGAATAAAATTTTAGGCCTAAAACATTTTTATGCCTGAACATTGAGTATGCAAAGTTTCAAAGGTTATAAAAAACACTTTCCATTATTAGCTGCTCTTTCACTGACCTTGTTGGTGAGACTCTAATCCCTCAGATTAGATCAAGGATTTCAGTCACAAGGATTTTTCTGAAGAGTATCCACTTTAAGCAGAATGTCTATTTGTAAGAATCATTACAGCTATTAATATCAAAAACTTAGTTCCCAAGTCACACTGATCTGTCTCAATGACTCCTACACATTCAATAAAAGTGAGACACCCTAATACCAGGTATGGTGTTAGATGCCTGTAATCTAAGCAATTGAAAGGCTGAGGCAGGAGGATCCTAAGTTTGAGGCCAGCTTGGGCTGTATAGTGAAGTCCTGTCTCTAAAAAACCAACCACAACAAAAATGATACTGGAGTACAATTTGTTTTTTTCTGAAATATGTATATCTTACAAATTTTGATGAATCTAGAAAAATTAGAAACATGTGCCTGTAATGTGGAGCTAAAAATTAGTTGAAAAAAATGTCCCAGTTTTCATAAATAAAATATTCATGCCTATAATGTGAATTGAAAATGGAAAATAATTGTAGATATAATAAGCTCTTTTTGAAAGCAAGTGACAGAATTAAACATCACTTTCCTACATATGTGGTGTGACATTTTCATTTTTTTCCAAGATCATTTAGTTTTTGTGTGACTCGAGTTTGTAAACATGCCATAATATCTAGTGATTACATAATGATGATTTCATGCTTCTGGCTTCATATAAAGGTGGCTAGACAGAGCGGCAAAATCAATTTCTTTTTTCATCTTTGTGGGAAGGGACAAAAGGAAATTGAATGCAAGATTTGCATTAAAACCGTGTCAGAATTTTAAGTCAGCAATCTGTTTTACTGGAAGTGAACACCAGGTGCAGTCAAGTGGAGTTACTGTGCTATGATACTCAGCCTACAGTTTTATCAATAAATAAAACCTTTGTTTAACTCTTGCCTTGTTTGGGTTTCATTACCCAGTGTTCTTCATTCCTATGACCTAATATTCTCTCTTATTTGTCTTGCCTAAAGTATGGAAAGGCAGGACTACTCTTGGGCAAAGTTCTAAAGTAGGTAAAACTTGTATTAACCCATGACCTTTTTCAGTTCACCTCCCTGTTCCCAGATATCTCCTCCATTTTCCCCCTGCTCACGATTTACCCTGCATCTTTCAAGGGTTCATGCTGTCTCCCGTATCCCAATCTTTCTGTAATTATGTCATTTTTCTGCTCAGAATATTCTGGTGGCTATAACAACAAACTGGGTAGCCAAATTCTTTTCTTCTTACCTCCAAGTTTTATTTCCTCCTCTCCCTCACATCTTCTAAGGCAAGTGGGTCGCTCACACTGCAATTTTTATTCACAAATTTTCATTCTGTGCTTTTTGCCTGAGAAGGCCTTCACACTTCATCTGGATGTACAGCCAAATTACTCATTCCAGCTTGTCTCAATAGACGCTCCTCCTCCAGGCCTCTCCCCTGCCCCTCATTTGTACCAAACACACAGTGCTTTAGATTGTAGTAATTGTCTATGAGGCACTGTACTGTTTTCCTTGTAAACATAATCTCATTTAAATTTCACAGCATTCTCAAGTTGAGGAAATAGAGACACAAATAACTTACATAGTTTGCCCAAGGTCACACTACTTGAAAGACAGAACCAGGAGGTTGACTTGAAGTCCTACAGTCCTCCCCAATGCTCCTTGCTCTTTCATCTTTGAATGATAGAATGAGGATCTATTTAGGTTTTCTAACTAAAATGCATTTATAACCAAAATAAGAGTTTATGAATAAGTCACTATAATCTTTGGTAGAACTGACCAACTAAGTAGAATCTATGATACATTGAGGAAAAGTGTGAGGGGGAAAATCCTTACTTAAAATTTTTAGAACAATTAAATGTGGTATGAGAAGCAAATGTTTAAGACAATTTATACTTTGAGAAGGACTAGCGTACAGGGAAGTAAATAAATGTGGGGTTGACTTCCTGGAGTTTAACAAAATTGAGAGGAAGATGACACCAGCCTACTGTATTGTACACTAACCATATCTCAGTTGGATGTAAAACCTAGTTTTTGCAGTATAGTGTATGCCTCTAATGTAGGATCTTGGATTAGTATTATTTGTCTTTTTCTAAATTTTTTATTGTGAAAATACTGTACAAAGGGGTTGCAGTTACAAGAGCAAGGTAATGATTACATTTCTTATCCAGTATTGTTGCCTCCTCCTCTGTTTTTCCCCTACCATCCCCTGCCCTTGGTAGGATCCAGGTTTTTGGAGCAATCAGACTTGGCACTGGGGTCAGCATCCTTTCAGTTCTGAGGCAGAGGTGTACCACTTAGAAAATCCTGTTTCTTATATTCAGAGGCTCATCCACTTCCGTTTTCTGAGGGTTTTTTTTGTTTGTTTTGTTTTATTTAGTGCCAGTAGTGGGGCTTGAACTCAGGGCCTTGTACCCTCACTTGGCTTTTTTGCCTAAGGCTAGCACTTTACTACAGGAGCCACCCCTCCACTTCTGAGCATCTCTTGGGTTTATGTGCTTGGGCTGACTTCAAACTTTGATCCTCAAGTCTCAGCTTCCTCAGTAGCTCGGACTATTGGTACCCAGCTGAGGTTTTCATTTTTAAGTAATTACAAATTCACAGGAAATTGAAAAACTAAAACAAAAACCAATGGTTACATCATACATGATGCAATCCATTATCAAACCTGGGAAATTGATGTGATATATTTCCCATTAAATATCAAATGAGAAAAATGAAAATCTATTCTAAAATTAACCTGGACATTCCATTCTACATTTGTTCTTATTCTCAAAATGCTAACCATGCTGATAGACCAGTAAAATAAGGTCAGTCAGGTCTACAGGGAAGGTTCCTCCACACTGGTGTAGGTGATACTCAGACTCCATCCAAATGCTAGGTCGCAGAGGATCTCACATCAAAGACAAGGATCTTCAAATATCTGAACTTGAACAAGTCACTTGACCTTTGCAAGCTTCCGTGTTTTCATCTTAAAGTATTTCTCCTGCCTATTTCATATAGGGTTGTTTTAAGGATCAAATGTGATGGTATATAGGAAAGAGTCAAGTAGGCAGTGAGCTAGCCAACATGAAGATTATACTCTCTTCTCAAAGTGCTACTCATTATAGAAGTGTAAATTGCCAAGGTGGTCTTCTTAGAAGCTGGAGGAAATGACTTCCTCATTAGCTAGACATTCCATCTTATGCAAATGACCTCCCATTCTGTCCCTAAGAAAAAAGCATTGGGGCTTACTTCTTGCATACTGGAAGTCATGAGTCTGTTTTAAAATAAAGACTACTTAACTGCTTCTTCTAGAAAGTTGATTGTATTTAAAGTAGCTAGTATTTTATTATGACTGCAAGATCACCTTTGTTATGACATGCAATATAAAACAGCTATTCATGACAATACTAAGAAATGATAAGGATACAAAATTAGACATTGGATAGTTGATGAAGTACATTTGAAAACCATGAAAGTGCTTTGTTTCTTTGTCTATATGGAGAAATTATAGGAACTTACAGTTTTGGTTTTGAATAGGAAAAATAAAACTCTAATTTCAACAGTAAGAGTGGAGAAATATAGAGGAGAAAATAAAGTTAAATTATGGATAAAAGTCCTTGAGGAGCATGTTTTGAGTACCACAATAAAAATGTTGAAATCTCTTTTATTTTCCTTCCCTCCCCTTCTCCTTATACAGGCTGGCATGGCTCTGACCTATGACCCTACAGCTGCCATACAGAATGGGTAAGTAGATTAATATTCTCCATTTTCATTCCTAAGAAATGTTACAACTTTGAATCAGGATCAAAAGAAAACGTTCAAATACATTTTGTTTTTGTGTAGTATCCTTAAGCCACACATCAAATAATTCTTACCATTGTAATGGTCTCCTCTTCTGTGGTTCTGAGCTCCATTTTCACAGTTCCTTACCTAGGTATGCACTTTTCTGTTCTCTCCTGTTTCTCACTCCCATGACCCTAGTCCTGCTGCAGTGAGTCAGAACACCTTAGATGTGAGGGAGAGCGTTTGGCCGCTCTAAAGTTCTGTGAATTATGACTATTTCCTCTTCTGTCCTGCTCCTTTTGTCTTGTAATTGTAAACACATAGTCACTGGATTGTTGTTGCCTCTGATTTTCAGTCTTTTAAGATAGTTTGCTCAGTGGAATTGTCTCTCATTCTCATTAAAGAATCAGTCATAATGTAGGCTTCCTCAATATTAAGAGAAACAGAGTTAAATTTCTTTTATTTATTTTTCTTTTTGAGTAGTGGCCTTAATGAAAATGTGTAGAATGGGAGGCATTTAAATAATTAATTCTTATTTGACAAACAGGCATTGTGTGGGGAACCTTTGTTCTACCTAGGGCCTTTTGAATATTTATAACATTATATATATACACACATATATATATAAAATCTTGATATATATATATATACATATATATGTAGCTTGATTTTTATTTTTTAGAGGAAAACCAAGACTGATTTCCATATGTTTTACACTAATTTACACTCCAACCAACAGTGCATGAGGATTCATTTCCCTCCAGCATTTGTTGTGGTTTTTTGGATGATTGCCAATGTGACTGGAAAGACATCAAATTTTGTATTACTTTTTTAAAATTTTTATTACCTTTATAGCTGCCATTCTGTAGACTACCATTTCAGTCTGGTAACTGGTTCCTTTGCTGTGCAGAAGCATTTTAATTTGATGCAATTTGTTCATCAGTCCTTGCTCTTATTTTCTGAGCTATTAAAGTCTTATTTAGAAGAGCATTGTCTATGCCTGTATGTTCAGGTGTTTTCCCTGTTTTTATATAACAGTTCCAAAGTGTCAGGTTTTTAGTGTAGGCATTGCATCCACTTCGCATTAATTCTTGTACAGGATGACAGATAGATTTATTCTGAGTTTTCTACATGTGGATATCTAGATTTCACAGCACAATGTGTTAAAAAGTTGTCTTCCTCTATTCTGTTTTTTTTCCCTCTTTTAATGTCATCAATTTATTCTTTAGTTTTTTTCTGATTTTTTAGGCTGTAGTAAATGGAATCATTTTCTTGACTTTTTTCTTAGAATGATCAGTTTGTACACATACAAAAGCTACTTAATTTTATGGCTTTTGTATTCTGAGTTTTTATTCTATTACTTAACTGGAAGTAAATAACTGAGCTAGAAGTTGTCTGGTGAAATGTTGGGAAGTATTTTCATTTGTAAATAGGGATAATGTAAATAGGGATTGCTTCCTTTTCCTAATTTTATTAACTTAAGAGGTCTTTTGTGTAAAGCTTTGTTAGTCTTGTTTATATATTTAAAGAACCAATGTTTTGTTCATTGAGTCTGTATTTTTTTCAGTCTCTACTTCATCAATTTATGTTCTGATCCCGCTACCCCCTATTCATTTATTGTTTGTTTGTTTGTTTGTTTATTTTTTTGCAACACTTGGTTTTTATGAACTCAGGACTTTAAGTTTTCTAGATAGGTGCTGTAGCACTAAGACATATATCCAGACTTTGTTTTACTTTTCAGGGAAGTTCTTATATTTTTTCCTAGACTGGCCTCCAAACATAATCCTCTTAGCTATAGGCTTCCATCTAGCTGAGATGACAGACATACACCAACATTTGGGCTCTGTCCTGATCTTTGTTATATCATTTTGCCTACTAAGTTTGTGTGGCTTATTTTTGTTTCTCTAAGAAATGGATGTATATCATTAGGTTACTTATTTGAGATTTTTTGATATTTTTTAATTTAGCCACTCATTGTTAAACTTTACTCTCAGTATTGCTTTTACTGTGACCCAAAGATCTATTAAGTTATGGTTCCATTTTCATTTAATTTTAGAAATTTAAATGTTTCCCCCTATATTTCTCTAATCTTCCACTTATCATTCAAAACTATGTTGTTTAATCTCCAGGTGTGTGTATATTTTCTGTAGATTTTCTTGCTATTTCTAATTTTATTACATTATAATTTGATAATATAAATAGAAGATTATTTCTTTGCTTTGGATTTAGGTGTTCTTTTTTCTTTTTCTATTCTCTTTTTTATTTTATTTATTTTATTTCTATTGAAAAGGGGATGAGCAGGGTGGTTACAGTTACATAAGTAAGGTAATAATTACCTTTGTTTTAAACATTTATTAACCCCATCCCTCATTTTCTCCTGCTTACCTCTACCTATGCTTTGTATTTTTTAAAGTTTGTTTTCTTTCCTAAAATGTGATCTATTTTGGAGAGAGTTCTTTAGGCTATTGAGAAGAATGTGTATTCCATAGCTGTTGGATTGGATAATCTTTCAATATCTATTTCATCATTTGATCTATGGTAGAATTTAATGTGAAGTATATTTGCTGTTTTCTTTTTGTTTTAAGATTTTGGTCTAGATGATCTATATAAAGATGATTGCCACATACTGAAGTTACTATTTTTGTATTAGAATCTCTCCTTTTGTGTCCAGTTGTGTTTATTTTATAAAATTAAGTACATCAAAACTTAGCGCACATATATTTACAGTCATGTCTTCTTGATTGATTGTTTCCTTTACCAATATCTAATGGGTGATTCATTTTGGCTTGTGGACTACTTGTTCAGATAGGACTATAACTACTCTTAGTTGTTTTTGTCTTCTAGTTGCTTGATACCTCATTTTCTACACTTTCAGTTTTCATCAGTGTGTGTCTTTGCCTATGAGGTTTGTTTCTTCCAGACAACAAAGGTTTGTACCATTCTTTTAATACGATCAGCCAGTCCAAGGCTTTTGATTAGAGAATTAAAACCATTTGTATTTCCTGTTTTTACTTAATTTCTGTTTTCGGTGATTTGTTTGTATTTACAGGTTGATTTCAGTACTGTCTTGTCTTTCCTTTCACTTCTATTTATCATAAAAAGTAGTTGAGTTGAACACAATAGATTCTTACTAATTCTTCTCTAGATATTAATTTTTTTGTGAGCTCCCATTTTTATGACTTTCTTCCTCATCTGTGTATAATATTTTTTAATTATCTCCTGTAATGCTAGATTAGTGGGCATAAATTGATCTGACTCGTGTTTGTTTTGGATGGTCTTTATTTCTCCATCAATTTTGGATGATAATTTTGCTAGATACAGCAATCTTTATTGTCATTTATTGATTATTAGTGCTTGAAATAAGTCTGATGTTGCCTTTGTAAGTTAGTTTATATTTTCTCTTACAGGCCAATATAGTTTCTTTCCTATTATCTTGATATTTTAACTGTAATAAGACCTAGAGAGGGTCTTGTCTGCCTATGCTCACTTGGTGTTCTGAATGCCTCCTGTCCTTGGGTATCCAAATCTTTCTCAGTTAATTGGAAAGTTTTCTGTTATAATTTCATTGAATACACTTTCTTTGCCTTTCGTTTGCATCTCTGCAAATGCTAATCCATGGGTTTCTTGATTATTTCTGAGAGTTCTTGAAGGTTATAGTCATGGCTTTGCTTATTATTCTTTTTCTTTTTTATTAAATGGCACAAGCTCTTACCATTTATCCAGGACTTGCCTAGAAATCACCGTGCATCCCACACTGGCTTTGAACTCACAATTTTCCTGCCTCCACCTCCTGAGCTCTGTGATTGCAGGCCTGAACTACCATACCAAGTTCAAATTTTTTTGTTTTTTCTTACTGTAAAGTGATAGTCGGGTTTGAAATCAGGGCCCTATCCTTGCTAGTCAGGTGTTCTACTACTTCATCCATGGTCTCAGCATCTTTGCTTTAGTTGTTTTTTGATAGAATCTCGTGGTTTTTATTTTACTTCACAAAAATTATCTTTAAGTAGTTGTAAAAAAGGGTTTCATGTCCTTGGCTGGGGCTGGCCTCAGACCTTCTTTGCCCACATAGGATTACAGGAATGTACCACTGTGCCCAGGTTTTTCCTTGAGAAAGGCCCTCACTAGCCTTTGTTGCATAGGCTGTCTTCAAACCACAATCCTCCTATTTCTAAATCTCATGAGGCTGGAATTATATGTGTAAGCCATTGCACTCAGCTATTTTTTTCTGAATTTATCTGAATATAACATTTGTTTCATTTTATCTAGAATCCCAGATATTGTATCTCTGTTTGAACTTCTATACTGACAATGCTTTGTACTGTGGTTTTAAATCTCATTGATGGAGCTTTTAATTACAAAATTTACACATTTTTGTTCCACAACTCAGATTTCCTTGTGGAATTTTTTTACTTTGTCTCTCCTGGGATGCATACCAGTGAATGAATTGAGTCAGTATTTACATTGTTTTTCAATTTTTTTCTCTCTTGCATCCTATAATTCCATTCTTGTCTGTTTCTTCTTGTTCCCTACAGTTCTTGTCTCCTCTCCTGATTCCTACTCTTTAACTTGCCTTAGATATTTTTTCTAAAGTTTAATATTTTCTAATCACTGCTTCTCTCTATTCATCTCATCTGCTCCTTTTATTTTAGGAACAAAAGACTCAACAGTGAAACAGAAAAGACTTGATCTTAGCTAGCTGTAGTCTCTGGCCGTTTATTTCCAAATACTTAATAGATATAACTAGTGTTTTGATATTTCCCAAGCTAAAAGAAACACGTATTAGCACAATTGAAGTACAGACCACACAAATAAATAAAAATAAATAAATAAAACTTCCAATTAGTTTTCATTAAAAATTTTACTCTAAAGTAACTTAGGTTAAAAACTCCAATTCCCAGAATTTTTTTCTCCATTTACATTATATGCTATCAAAATAGTTATTAACATTTGTTCATTTTAGA